ATAGCAGAATAATATGATGAAGAGAGAGGGAGTAGCTACAGAAGACAGGGTGGCTGGGGGAAAACTCTCCGAAGAGGTGACTTTGAGCTGACACTGAAGAATGACAATAAGCCAATTGCTAAAATAGCTAGCAAAATTCATTCATTAATTTCTTTAATGCTATGCATAAAGTACTTTCTGGAAACATAACAGAGAAATAAGACAGTGATTCTTGGGGCTCCTGGGTGGCTCAGTTGGTTAAGCGACTGCCTTCGGCTCAGGTCATGATCCTGGAGTCCCGGGATCGAGTCCCGCATCGGGCTCCCTGCTCGGCAGGGAGTCTGCTTCTCCCTCTGACCCTCCTCCCTCTCATGCTCTCTGTCTCTCATTCTCTCTCTCTCAAATAAATAAATAAAATCTTTAAAAAAAAAAAAAAAAAAAGAGTGATTCTTCCTTGAAGGAATCTGTAGTCTTCCTTGTGCTATAATTAAGTACCACAAGAAAGTAAATCTTAATTATATGTGAAAGAAACTATCTAGCTGGAGGAGGTATCTGAGTTGAGCCCCGAAAGATAGATAATTTTTGGCTTCTGGGATGAATGACAGGGAAAGGGATAGGGGAATCTGTAATTTAGGAAGCAGGGGAAAAAAAGGCTGGTATGTGGGACGCCTGGGTGGCTCAGATGGTTAAGCGTCTGCCTTTGGCCCAGGTCATGATCCCAGGGTCCTGGGATCGAGCCCCACATCCGCTCCTGGCTCAGCGGGGAGCCTGCTTCTCCCTCTGCCTCTCCCCCTGCTCATGCTCTCTCTATCTCTCTGTATCTCAAATGACTAAATAAAACCTTAAAAAAAAAAAAAAAAAAGGCTGGTATGTATCCATATGTTTGGCTAAAAATTGGGGGTGTAAAGGGAAGTCACAGGATATAAAGTCCCCAAAGTACCAGAAGCAGGTTGAGTTTGGATTATGCTTCACAAGAAAACTTTGAAGACTGAACTGGCAGAAAAGGGAGAGCAGAATGTAAGACATGAAGAAGAAACCTACACCACGGCCAATGAGAAGGGAGAGTTGAAAGAACTAAGACTGTATAGTTCTGTTGTTTTTAAAAAATGTATTTATTTATTTATCTTAGAGAGAGAGAGAGAGAGAAAGAACGTGTAGGCATGCTTATAGGGGGAGGGGGGGAGGGAGAGGGAGAAAGAATCCTCAAGCAGACTCCATACTGAATGCAGAGCATGGGGCTTGATCCCGGGACCCTGAGATCAGGACCTGAGGTGAAACCAAGAGTTGGACTCTTCCTTTTTTTTAAAAAGATTTTATTTATTTATTTGACAGAGAGAGAGACAGCGCGAGAGGGAACACAAGCAAGGGGAGTGTTAGAGGGAGAAGCAGGCTTCCCATGGAGCAGGGAGCCCGATGCGGGGCTCGATCCCAGGCCCCTGGGATCATGATCTGAGCCGAAGGCAGACGCTTAACGACAGAGCCACCCAGGCGCCCCGAGAGTTGTACTCTTAACCGACTGAGTCACCCAGATGCCCCAGACTGTGTAGTTCTTTTTTTTTTTTTTTTAAGATTTTATTTATTTGTCAGAGAGAAAGAAAGAAAGAGAGAGAGAGAGAGAGAGCGCACAAGCAGAGAGTGGCAGGCAGAGGGAGAAGCAGGTTCCCCACTGAGCAGGGAGCCCAATGCGGGACTTGATCCCAGGCCCCTGGGATCATGACCTGAGCTGAAGGTAGCTGCTTAACTGACTGAGCCACCCAGGCGCCCCAAGACTGTGTAGTTCTAAGTGATGGGAATTTGTAAAGGTGGGGTGTGACTGTGTGTGTGTGTGGGGGGGTGCTGAAGAAATGAGTTAAGGACATGCAGGAATTTTTTTAAAGATTTATTTATTTATTGGAGAGCGAGCGAGTGAGAGCTTGCTCCAGTGCGCAAACGCTGGAGAGGGGACAGAGGGAGAGGGAGAGAGAAACTCTGAGAAGAAGACTCTGCATGGAGCCCGATGTGGGGCTCCATCTCATGACCCTGAGATCACAATCTGAGCTGAAACCAAGAGTCAGATGCTTAAATGACTGCACCCCTAGGCACCCCAAGATGTAGGAATTTTGAGTCATCATGTTATGGTGGATCATTTACCAAAAGTTGGCAATAAAAGAAGCTTAAGGTGGAAGATTATTAGCTATTTGTGATTCTGAAGTGTTAATCAGGACACTGTCAACAGGCAGTTGGAAATCTAAGACTGGAATGTCAAAGAGGTCAGAATTAGAGCAATTTTGGGTAAGTCCACAAAGAGGACTTATTATTAAATAATTAAATAATTAAATATAATTATTAAAGTCCAGGAGCTCTCCTAGAGATTTATTTATTTTATAAAAAAAGATTTTATATATTTATTTGACAGAGGAAGAGATAGTGAGAACAGGAACACAAGCAGGGGGAGTGGGAAAGGGAGAAGCAGGCTTCCCGCTGAGCAGGGAGCCTGATGCGGGCTCGATCCCAGGACCCTGGGATCATGACCTGAGCTGAAGGCAGCCACTTAACGCCTGAGCCACCTAGGAGCCCCTCTCCTAGAGATTTAAAGAAAGAAGCATGGAGCACCTGTGTGGCTCCGTTGGTTGAGCGGCTGGCTCTTGATTTCAGCTCACGTCATGATCTCAGGGACCTGGGATTGAGCTTCACGCTCAGACTGGAGTCTACTTGGGATTCTTTCTCTCCCTCTGCCCTCCACCCCCCGCCCCATGCGTGCTCTCTCAAATAAATAAATCTTAAAAAAAAAAAAAAAAGAGGAAGACCAAAGATAGAACCAAAGGGGCCCCTATTTTAGGGAACAGTAAGAGTTGGAGAGGTGAGAAAATCATCAAGTACCAGTGCTGGAGAAATCAAGAAAACAGAATTAAGAATATTAAGAATCCAGTGGTAATAGTATCACAATACTGCAGAGGGGAGGGAAGAACCCAGAAGAATGCATCAAACTGCTGCCTTTTAAGAATGCAGCTTCAGCAGTGTGATGACAACAAAAATCAGATTGCAGGGGTTACAGAGGAGGTCTACTGTAGATGGTCAGGAAGTAGAGTCAAAATGGAAAGGATTCAAAAGGTTTGGGGGTAAAGATACGAAAAAGGGATGGGAGTTTGATGAGGAGACATAACTGAAAAAAGTATGAGACGGATGGACAAGAATATACATGAAGGGAAGGATCCAGAGGGAGAGAGAAGATAGGAGAGTAAAAGGGTATTAACAGAAGAAATAGTGGGAAGAAAGAGTAATAAAAGACACAGACTGAAAGGGAGGAGTACTTCCTACTCAGATGAGAGGATGGGTGAATATATAGAAAGATTGAGGAGAGAGGAGGAAATAGTGTGTGTGGTTGTGGGGACAGCGAAGGGTGCATAAGAAATGGTTTCAAACTTTTCAGTAAAGGAGGAGGCTTGGAGTCTACAAAGAACGGGTTAGAGGGTTTGAGAACAAGAATTATTTTTAGTAGAATGGCAGAATGTATTAGGGCCCTCACATAAATCAGATATATAAAATGAAAGATGGGGCCAAAACGGCATCCACAGGTGACTAAAATTGAAGATTTCATTACATATTACAGATGGGCTTGTGTAATTGTTATTCATATACAAATATGGTCCAATTCACACTACATTTTCTTTCAATAGCAAAATCACTAATTTGGATTTAAAGTATGATTTCAGACAATGAGAAAAGGAGAATATGATCAAAGACTCACTTTTTATTATTTTTTAAAGGATTTCATTTTTAATCTCTACACCCAACGTGGTGCTGAACTCACAACCAAGAGATCAAGAGTCGCATGCTCTACTGGGTGAGCCAGCCAGACGCCCCATGGACTCACTTTTTAAATTTGCATACATAGTAACTGTGATTGTTGTAACTTGTTTGGAACTGTGTAAACCATTTTGCAGCAATTACAAGTTAATGAGACAGACCACAGGATTAAAACGATTAGGAAATGTTGCTTGAGGAATAATTCACAGATGAGAGTTTAGAAAAAGGAAAAACAGGAGTCTTTCTTTTGTACAGGACTGAACTCATCCTCAGGACAATGACCAGGAAAAAGGGAGGTCTTCTTAATACAAGTAAAAGAAAACTGCTGAAGAGAAAAATAAGTTTGAAGTGATTCAGCCTTTTCAGAAGTCAATATCTTTGTCTGGCAGTGATTTCTACTACCATAACCTGAAAGTGCTAAAGACTGCATTGCAAATGGCTACACAGCATAAAACCTATGTTTACTGCCAATTAAGTCCAACCGCTGTTATCTTATAATTTTCGTTTCTTAATGAATCCTTTCTCTAAGTATTCTCATTCATCCACTAGTAACAACCTGGTACTTCGATATATTGCAGGTGGGAGACAGTGGACGTGGGGAGGGTCAACTCTCATGTTTGAGTCTTAGCAGCCGCGTCCCTCCAAAGGAGGAATGAATTCTACAGTTTGTGGCTTATCGGCCCGGGGACTGGTGGAGGCTGCGAGACGCAGGATAGAGATGGTCGGCTAGGAGGTGGGCAAACCTAGTGTCTTGTGGCTCTTCCCTCACATGTGGAACATGTCAACGCCGAACACCCTGAAGTGTGCTAAAAACACCGCCCCCCCGCCCCAGACTCATTCCACGAGCTCCCCCTGAAGAGGTACCCGCCCAGGAGGAAGGATCTCAGCCCAGACTTCATCCAGAGGAGACGAGCTACTCACTGTCGATGTCCTCTATGAGGCTGGCGGTGCCGGGCATATAGTTCATTTTGAGCTGAGATAAGGCTGCAGGGTACAGCGGCGGTGGGCCAGTGCGTCCAACACCTCCCTTCTCCGACCACAGTCGCCGCCTGGGCGGGACCGGGACAGGAACCCGGACCAGGAGCAGCACGTCTGCCCCGGCTTTCAGCAGCCGGGGCCTGCCGGAAACGCCTCCATATTATTCCCACCCACTTCCGGTATCACGTGCCTGTCCTCAGGAAGAGGCGGGGCTGTCGTGCGGTCCCGGAACACCCATTCCCCATCCCTGATAAAAGGGGAAGAGGAATCTAGATTGACTAGATGATAAGGAAAATGTATTCTCCCTTTTAAGAAACACGGTGCTGCCCCTCGTCTTCTTGCTTCCCAGACCCCCGAGTCACGGAGCTCCGTCCTTCAATTCTCAGACTCGGCAGCCGAAGGGGCGGGACCGGGCCTGGGATTGGCTGTTGTCGGCCGACCCCTTTCCCTGCTGTCCAGTTCCTCTCCTCGGCTGGCGCCTGCGCTGTGGGGTGGCTGTGGGGGGCGGGAAGCGCTACGGGGCAGTAGAGCCCATGTCGGCCTTGAGGCGCTCGGGCTACGGCCCCAGTGACGGTCCTTCGTATGGCCGCTTCTACGGGCCCGGGGGTGGAGATGTGCCCATGCACCCACCTCCGCCCTTGTATACTCCTCGCCCTGAACCTCCCCAGCCTCCCATTTCCTGGCGGGTGCGCGGGGGCGGCCCTGCTGAGACCACCTGGCCGGGAGAAGGCGGAGGAGGCGATGGCTACTATCCCTCTGCAGGCGCCTGGTCAGAAACGGGTCGAGCTGGAGGAAACCACCAGGTAAGCTTTGCACCATCTGTCCCAGGGGGTTCCGATAAGGGGAGTCTTTGGAGGGTGAGGGCCATTGGGATTGATAAACCTCCAGAGTTCGTAATGGATCAGGTTTCGTATTTGTTTTCCTTATGGGGGGTTGGAGAGACAGACTGGATTTGTGGCTGGAGGGATATGCTTGTGTTCTCTTTGCGTCTCCTTTTCTGCTTCGACCATGATAAATGTGTCTGTTACCATTAAAAAAGGAAGAAAGATCCTGCGCTGACTTGCTAAGCTAAGTAGCAAGCTGCGGAATCTCTCGCCTTGGATTGATGTTGGGCTGGAGTGACCTGGCCAAGCTTTTTGAGCTCTAACAATTTATTCTGCGTGGCTCATATGGCTGGCTCTCCCCGAGAAGGGAGGTGGCTGCAGCCCCCGCTGTCACTCAGCAACCCCTCCCGACGGGAAGGAACTGAGAAGGAAGAGGAGGGATCGGGCATTTAGCCCTTTGCCCCTAATGCTCTGCCCAGGGTTGAATCACCAATACTCACCTTTACTTGGATTGTTAAATTACGTTGCGGCTGCAACGTAATTGTCATTACAGCCTCCCTGTTTTATGATTTAATAGTTGGCTCCGAGAGGCTAACTCACTTGGTCAGTAGAGATATCCCTGGCTTTATTGCCACTTTGTTTTTTAGGAAAGACCTACCTTAGTGTCTGTTTTTACTAACTGAAAGAAATCTGAAAAGGAGTTTTGCTTTTAGGAAAAAGGGTGAAAAGCGAAAATAGCTTCAGCGTTTGTTTTGCAGCAAGCAGTTGTAGAGGCCGTGCGCCACTGGGCAGTGAGAGTGGCACCGCCAAGCTCCTGCCCTGGGAACTACACTCAGCATCTCAGCATCACAGTGCGGTAGCTTTGAACTGTGTCTGTGAGCCTCGGTGCTTTATCTCAATCTATTTTGTGCATCCGTTGGCAAGATATGTCCTAAGGTAGCACAAAAGCCTAAGAAAGGTTATTTTGGGGGCTGGGAATGCTAAAACATTTTTCATAAAAAATTAATGGTAATTACTTTTTCGCTTTATGCCATTTTGGCTTACAAAAGATTTCATAGGAATGTTCTACTTTCAGATAGCAGGGGAAACCTGTACACTCGGACTTACAACATTTTGCTCCTTGTCTTCCTGCCAGAAATACACTTCTCTTTTGTTAATTCAGTATTCTTGGCAATGAATTATTATATGGTCGGGGGCACACCTCTCTTTCCGTTCAGTAATTATAATATCTTCATGGGTTGAAAATGTAGTGGTGAAATTCCCATAAATTGCTGGTGGGGATGTAAGATGGTTCAGTGCTTTGGAAAATAGTTTGGCAGTTCCTCAGAACGTTAAGCATAGAGTTAGTATATTACTCAGCAGGTTTGCTTTTAGATATGTACCCAAGAGAACTGAAAACATGTCTACTTAAAAACTTGCATGTTTTTATGAACAACAAGCATGTTCATGGCAACATTATTCAGAATAACCAAAAAGTGGAAATAACCCAAATGGCCATCAACTGATGAATAGATAAAATATGGTATATTTATGCAATGAAATTATTTAGCCGTAGGAAGGAAATTAAGTACTGATACATTCTATGACGTGGATGAACCTTGAAAACATCACGCTACATGGACAAAGATAGAAAGACCACACACATACTGTATAAGTCCATTTATATGAAATGTCCAAAATAGGCAAATCTGTAGGGACAGGAAGATTAGTGGTTGCCAGGGGCTGGGGGACTGGGGACTTTGAGATGATGGTAAAGTGTATGGGGTTTGTTTTGGGGGTGATGAGAATATTCTGGATTTAGATAGTGACGATGGTTGCACAACTTTGAATGTACTAAAAACCATTGAATTGTACACTTTAAAAGGGTGGTTTTGGGGCACCTGGGTGGCTCAGTCAGTTCGGTGTCTGACTCTTGATTTCAGCTCAGGTTATTGTCTCAGGGTCCTGAGATCGGGCTCCGCCTCAGACTCTGTGCTCAGTGTGGAGTCTGCCTGTCCCTCTCCCTCTGCTCCCCCCCCCCCCGCTTGCACTCTCTCTCTAATAAATAAATAAAAATAAAATCTTTTAAAAAGGGTGAGTTTTATGCTATGATGGTCATATCTTTAAAAAATTTTGTAAGAAACAACATGCAGTGAGAGATTAATTGTGAAGAAGGGTTATATTTGTGTGTGTGTGTGTGTGTGTAAATCTGGAATAAGTAGGCTTCGGAACTTTTATCCCATGGTAGATTAGAGTGATAAAATGCTTGGCCTATAAGTAGGCAAACCATACCAAAGATCAGTGGAAAGCAAGGAGGAGATGAACGATAAAGAGATGACTTCTCCTTGGACTCGCAGTATTCTTAAAACAAGAGTGTGTTTTCTGGGCAAGGTTAGAGAAGTTCAGATTTTAGAATTGTGTAGGGTGTTAGTAATCTGTACACCCAACGTGGGGCCCAAACTCACAACCTCAAGATCAAGAACGCACATGCTCTTCCAACTGAACCATCCATGCACCGCTATCTATCTTACTTTCTGAATGCATTTCAAAACAAGCTGCATAGATTTGAAAGACATTTTTAAAGGTATATATCAACTGGAAGTGAGGGAAGCCAGAGAAACATTAGGTGATTCTGAGGTTTTAGTATTTCCTAGGAATAAATGTTTCATAGTAATAAAAAGGAAGAGGAACAGGTTTTTATGGGAAGATATAGTTTAGTTTCATACCAGAAGAACTAGTGATTGGTTAATAGAGGAGCTTAAAAAAATACAAAGACTTGGCAAGGGTTTGTGTACTGCCTTTATTTCACTTCTGTTGGAAGCCAGTTATTCACCGTGGTTACTATGTGCCAAGCTCTGGATGTAATGTATGTGATTGATGAGACAGAAGTTTGTGATTTTCTCTTTTTGTTTTTGTTTTTTGATGCCAAATTTTATAGTCTCTGGTATCCAGGAGTTGTTGTCTATAGGAACAAAACAATAGATGTGGGGTCAGGTGGGTGATGGGGGATGGAGATGGTGATTTGAGAGTCATCAAAGCTAAGCATATTTGAATTACCAAACTGGGTAATGTTCTCACAGGAGATCTTTGAGAGTAAAATAAGTGACAAAGAAAGAGGATTCAGAAGAAGACAATAAGAGAGAATACTTGGAAAGATAGTAGGGAAATCAGGAAAGTCATGCAGTGCAAACCAAGCAAGGACACAATTATTTTGAACATAAGTGATACGAGAACTGAAAAGATGCTGTTGGATTTGGCAATTGAAAGGGTCTTGTTGATTTTAGTGGTGGGAGTTTAAAATAGTGGGAGGTTTGGGTGCCAAGACAACACCCAGGTATGTAAATGATACTTCCAGAAGTTAGTAAATGAGAAAGTGGTTACTTGACTGCGAACCAGGATCGGGGAAATAATTTTTAGGATTAGGTGGCTTGAATATGTTTGTAAGCAGAAGAGAGTAGGAAGAAAGATGCGAACAAAATAATGGAATGTGGCTTGTGGAGAGAGGGATGAAGAAGTGAGGAAGAGCTGGAAAACCTTTTTTTCCAAGCTAAAGGCGGGGGGGAATCAGTTTGGAGGTGGAGGGGAGGGACATTAAAAGAGTTTATAACTCTTGGTGTCCTTGGCGAAGTAGGAGGCTAGGTCATCTGAGAGGAGAGGAGGTGGAATAGCATAAACGGGGAACTTGATATGATAAATGTTTGAAACAGGTGCCAGGGGAAGTGGGAAATTGTAGAGAAGCCTGGGAGAGACCCAAATGAGATTGAAAAGAAAAACTTGGGATGATGGTCAGCATAGGAACATAAAGTGCTTTTGTAATGATTTGGGCATATATAGCTAAAAATAATTTTTAATGTATTTTTCTAATAATTTTTGTCTAATTCTTGTGAACAAGGTAAACAAATTCGTAAATGGAACTTAGTGGCAGCACTAGTCAGATTCCTCTGCTGTTAGATTTGCTTGGGTTGGGGTTATTTTTTGGAGGCATGTTGGTAAGTCACTTTGTAAATTTAATCTTGTATATACTTCTACAAAACTAGTTCTAAGATAAATATGAAAGAAGTTGACTCCAGCCTTCATCTGAGATTTAGGTGTTTCTTCTCAAAAAGGAAGTAAATGAATTTGTTATCTTCTTGCATAATTTTGATCAAATTTCCAGTGCAACAAGAACTTTAATTCACATTAATTACTGCCTCTTGTGAAAACCTTTTCTCATTTTTGTCTGGTTTACATCACCTTTTAGCACCTTTGTCTAGTTTCAGACAACAAATAAAAAGTTTGGAAAGAGTTAAGCACATGATAACATTGGCAACTTGGATTATAAAACAGATCAGCTTCAGCCAGCTTCCTGTGAAACCAAATGATATTTCATAGAATTATGTCATTCAGGTTAGGAGGGCCTTGAGCTGCAGACTTTCATTGTTACTGGGGATATTTTTAGATTTGTTCCATTTTGTCCAAAGGGGAGGAAAAAAAGCGAAGACAGTCTTTTTATTAAGACTTAATAAAATTAATAATTCTTGCCACTTCATTGAAGACATTCTCCCATCCAAGTACTAAGCAGGCCGGGGCGCCTGGGTGGCTCAGTTGGTTAAGCGACTGCCTTCGGCTCAGGTCATGATCCTGGAGTCCCTGGATCGAGTCGCGCATCGGGCTCCCTGCTCAGCGAGGAGTCTGCTTCTCCCTCTAACCCTCCCCCCATCATGTACTCTTTCTCTCTCTCTCATTCTCGCTCTCTCAAATAAATAAATCTTTTAAAAAAATAAATAAATAAAATGGTACCAAGTACTAAGCAGGCCAACCCTACTTAGCTTCTGAGATCAGACGAGATTGGGCGTGTTCAGGGTGGTATGGCCATAGACAACGATCTAGTTTTCATTTTTAAAAATTATGATATATTTATATTCTGTAAATTGTACCTTTTTAAAGATACAGTTCTATGAGTTTTGACAAATGCATACAGTCATGTAACCACTACCATAATCAAGGTATAGATAATGACC